GGGAGAGGGGGGGGGGAGCTCGGGCAGGCCTGGGTCTGGGGTTGGTGGTCACGGGGTTTTTGTTTTGTTTCGTTTTGTTTTGTGTTGGGGAAGTCTGTCCGGTGAGATTTGACGGGGTTTGGACCCGATGAGATGTTGACCTTGGAGATTGCGGGATGCGAGATCTCGCATGCTTCATGGCTTCGGAGGGAGCCCATGACATGGGCAAGGTTGGTGACCGAGACTTCGGTGGCTCCATTTGTGAGTGGATCATGATCTCTGCTGCTGCGCACTGCAACTTCATGATACTCTGGTTCTGCACTACGGCCGAGCTGTGTTGCTCCTTGAGTAATCACTGTGCCATAGGGATCTCTTATCAACCATCATGTTCAGCTTGTGCATTGGGCAAACATCTATGCTGTTTACCTTATCAACTGGGATTGTAACCGCACATTAAACAACCGGAGGGTTTTGAAATAAGGAAGGTTGACCTGGGCCCAACCAAAACATCTGTATCGCGTATCCTTCAAGGGGCAAAATGATGCCGTGCTCACCACGTATATTTCACCATGTCGAGGATCAGGTAACGCATGCAGTGGGTGAGAACGTTCCAATCTGGCAGCGAGACCATTGTAAACGCTTCACTTAGCACGGCGAAATTATGATGGCTAAGCAGGTAAGCCATACAACACGCAGCGATGGCTTCAAACCCCCACGCAAGAACAAAGACCACCAGACAGTCACCTGGGAGCTGCCCCGAACCAGTACGCCAACTCCGGCTACCGTAGACCCATTCCCAACCGCGTTATATAATACAACGACGACATGACACATTCGCTGTAATCGATACATCAACAACAAATGCCCGTACTTGCCTACGCTTCAACATCCATGGCACCGTCCTCATCATCGACGTCATCTTCGGTCTGAGTTAGGTCCAGTACACGAGCATATTGCACCGTCAGGCGCTGAAGCTCTCGGAATTTACCTAGAAATAGTACGTTAGTGAATGCCTGCACATGCATCATGAGAATGAGCTTACCCAGAATCATCACGACGCCCTTCAGCAGCTCTTTTCGGTCCCACCCGCAAATTTCATTCTCCTGGCTGAACCACCCCTTGGCCTTGGTCTCTTGGACCTTTTTGTCTTTAAGGATGCCACCGAGCAGGCTGTTCAGAAGCTCCTCGACCTTGAGCCGAAGGCCTTCGGCGCCGATTCGCTTGGCGTACATGAAGAGGTATAGACGGAATTCGTCCCTGGCACCCATCTGCAGTGAGGCGGCAATTCGGTTCTCGAGATGCGCAATGCTCACGGTACTTTCAAAGTCCTCAAAGCCGTCCCGTGTCAGGAGCGTCTTGACGATACGCTGCAGGGTGTATGCTCTGCCCTTGAGCAGGAACTCGTTGGTGGTGTGACGCTCCAAGTGCGGAATAATGCCAGCGGAAACCGTTGCCGCGCTGGAGTCTTTGTCTTTGGGTGCTGTGACGGGCCCAACTGCGGTCGACTGCAGCGCGCTGATGGAAGAGTCGTTGGAGTTCCAGTACTGGGAGCCGACGGCCCACCAAGCCTCGCTGATGCGTTGCCATGTGTACATCTCGCGGGCGTAATAGTATCCATCTCCGTTTGTCAGCGTAACAACGATGTGTCCTGTCGAGTTGAGAGCTGCTGAGGTGACGCCGGGGCCAGGCGTAGCGGCGTTGAGGTTTAGGGTGGTTGTCGCGAGCTCCAAGATGGGACCTAGAGACACGGGAGGATGTGGTGAAGACTGGCTCTCGATGTTCCAAACGTAACAGAGACCGACCGCATTGATGCATAGTAGCCAGTGCTCGCGACTCTCGAGTATGACAGGCTGGGCCTCGGTGACGATGGCATTCACCAATCTTCGGCCAGCAGGGGTCCAGATGTACACGCTACCATCTTCGCAGGCAGCAGCCCAAAAGTGCTTGTTGCCAGTGACGAGGATGACAGCCCTAGAGAGATAGTCCTGCCATAGAAGGGTGCCACGCTTCGTGGCTGTGATTTGCGATGGATCCTTGATCTGCACAGGATTGCGGGCTTCGAGAACAATGTTCTCCGGAACCTTAGCAGCGTCTTCGACAGTTGTCTCGCTCAGCAGTACACCTCGCTCCATTGGCCGCACGATATGTGACCGAACTTTTGGAACAGCAAGCCGTATCTGAGCAAAGGTGATGGATGGATTCAAAACAGCTGGTCGGAGGAACTCGGGAGTTGGCGCGATACCGTGAGGTGCTTGGACCATGGCCGCAGGTTCAACACCATCGACACCATTCACCACAATGGGCGTTGGCCCCGTTGCCTGGCGCTTGGCAAAAGGGTCGTCTCCTTCTTGCGGCTCCATCTCGATAGCTTTCCTCTTGTTGCCGAGCAGCATGGCGGCGATGCCACCTCGCGGCAAGCCATCAACGGGTTTGCCAAGGTCGAGTATTGACAAGGGCGCGTCATTCTGCGACGCCTTAGCCGTGGAAGTTGACCCGACGAGCTGTGTTTGAGGCATCGACATCTGCCCAGTACCTGATGACGAGACCAACAGTGGCGCAACCCGTTTCTTGCCGTCTTTGCCCACGGTGACTCGAGACTTCAGTTCCTTCACACGTTCAGCTGTCTTATCGGCGCTTTCTTCGGGTTTCTCTTTCTCTTTCTCCTTGTCCGCCTCAGGCTCTTTCTCATTTTCTTTCTCCTTCTCCTTCTCGGGTTCAGTATGCCCATTGGTCGGTTTCGGCGTTGAAGTATTAGTACCGTTGGTCTTTATGCCATTTGCAGACGGCGCTGCTGCGGCTGGAAGGTCACCCATCAAGGCGCCCATGCGGGACTCTGCCGCCTTGGACTCTCCTGCCTTGCTCTGGTTCTCCAGCTGCAGCCCTTCAACGTCCTCCGCGATGCCCATGCCCTTGCGGGAGACGCCGTATTTCTGCAGCGCCTTGTCGTTCTCCTCCGCATTCGCGACCCAACCGAGTTCGCCCGTATCGAATCGGACTGCGATAATAGCGCCGTCCAGACTTGCGGCGAAGAGGGTCTGACCATCAGGGGTCCAGGACAGGTCGGAAATAGACTTGCCGGCGAGGTCCTGCAGAATAACCACCGGCCGCGAAGTGTTGGTGTTCCAGATACTGAGGGTCTTGTCCTGGCCAGCTGATGCTATGACGGTCACCAGCGAGCCAACGTTGTCGTCTGTGATCTCGGCTGGGTTCACTGTATGAAACAGCCTGGGGGAAAACATGCAGACTTCCGTTGGACCCTCGTGGCCAATGAGGTTGATCTCACTGTCCCACCGCGTACGCTCGATAATGGCGACAGAGCTGACGGGCCCATTGACTGCGTTCGCAGCTGCAATGTGGTTGCCGTCGGGCGACCACGAGCAACGCCGAAAGTACGTCGTCAGAGGCGAACTCTTGAACGGTGCGTTGATAGTTGTTTCCACCACAAAGTTGTTCACCATGTCGTGTTGCGTCGCGTTGGGAGCGGGAGGAGTGAATCGGAAGATTTTAATGGACCTGTCGTCGCTGGCGGTTGCGAAGAACTTGTTCGCGGGGTCGAAGGTGATGCCCTTGACGTGGCTTGTGTGAACGGCAAGTGTCTTTAACTTCTCGAACGTATGGCCTGACCAGACAACGACTTTGGAGTCCAGGCCAACGGAGACGAGAATAGAAGAGTCATACGACCAGGCAATATCCTGCACGTCATTGTCGTGGCCTACGAGACGCTTGTAGGTCTTCCAATTTTCGACAGGGGGAGCATCACCGGTGCCTGCAACGACGAAGGTCAGCATGCCGTCAACAAAGGCATTGAGAAAAGCGGCGTACCAAAGGAAGCAACGGGCGGGTTCTTGTCGAGGTGATAGACACAAATCAGCTTGTCATCGGCGCCCGAAGCAAGATATCGCCCGTTTGGAGACCATCGAACGGAGTGGATGGTGCCGAGATGGTGGCTCATGTGGCAGAGCTGCCTCGGCTTGCCCACATTGTCATCGCTGTTGGTGCCATAGATGGCTTCAGTCGACCAGATCCGAACGTGGCCATCGCCTCCAGCTGTCGCGAGCCGCTTTCCGTCGGGGGAGACGTGGCAGCTGTAGACTTCGTAGTCCTTCTGCTCGCCGCTATGGCTCAGCCAGGCTGGCTTAATGACGTGCATTGTTGGGTGTACACATGAATATCGCAAAGAGTTTCGCGTTCATGTAGGTGTGTCGATGGTCGTTGCGTCGTCAATGTGATGATGGATGTGTGGTGGTGATGATTTGCCAGGGTTCACCTTTGGATTTGGGCTTGCGACAAGGAAAACGCGCCTGGATGCGACCAACTTTCTCTGCGCGGCGCGCGTTGGCCCAGTGTGCTGGGGAGGTCCGTTCAAGCTTGGCCCGATTAGATAACGTCGCGCAAGCCCCCGGTGCTGAGTCAGTGGGTGTGGCCACCAGTGGCTTATCCCAGAAGGGAGTTCAGCGGTCAAGGTTCATTGCCCCAGCATGCTTTGTTTCCAGCACCGACTAGATATCCTACGGCATGTTGATCACGACATTGGATGACAATCAAATGGCCGATCTGCCTTCATTCCCTTGCTTTCTTGTCCTTCTGGCTTTGACTATACTCGAGACAAAATCTGCCACGATGTTGTTAAGCTATACACACGACTAGTTCCTACTCGGTGAGTGGCCATGGCCCAGATTCGCATGGCGCAAAACAGACGAGGGGGGACACGATGTGATTTTATTTCCAAGTCTCTGCGTTGGAGCACAAGACTCTGGGTGGCTCATTTCACTTTAGCACCAGCAGTTTTCAAGGTCATATTCGTTTTCATTCATGCCATCATCGCGGCTCGCGAATCTCAGGCAGGACGAGTCAATCGCTGCCAATGCCCGGAAAGACGCAGTCCCTCCCCGGCGGAGTAAGGTATCAACAAGAAACCAATGGTGAGAAACAAACACGCTGTAAAGTCGCCGGCTTCATCCCTGCGCCAGCCACCTTGATATCACCAAGCTCTCACACTTCCCGAATCAACCATTCCACCCTTAACCCAGGGTGGTGCCGCTGCATCCGACAAAGTTGTTGCCGCTAGCGCCGGTGTGGGTGATCTGGCCAGCAATGGCACAGTTGCCGTTGATGATGACACGGTCAGCACCAGGGGAGCCTACACGACAAGCGCACGTTAACTGGCGATTCACAGACAACGGGTGGACATCTTGACTCACCTCCGGTGTAGACACCACTGGGACTTCAGGGGGGAACTCCCTGCCAGGGGCCTGACGCCTTGAAGTTGAAGCCCTCGTAGTTGTTTGTAGGCGGTGGGGGTAGTTGGAGGAGCCGGCCTGGGTGCCAGCGCGGACGTGCTTGCACGCGGCGTTGGCGGCGGCGTTGACCTGCGCCGTCGAGTAGTAGGTGCTGCCACAGGTCGTCGCGCGCTTCTCAATGGCGGAGCGCTCCCTCGTTGGGCGAGCCGGGCGCTGCGTGCCCCGCGCCGCCGAGAAGGGAGACAATGAGAGCCTTGACCTGCATGATGGCGACGAATAAAAGAAGAGCTGCTTGACAGAGGGGGCGAGATGGAAAAAACGCTGGCGGTGATGATGTCTGCTTACGATCGAAGGCCCGGCGACATGTCCAGTTTATAGACTTTCTTTGCTTGCGCCTTTGAGGCAAGCCGCCTTCGCCTTCATCGTGGATGTCTTCACCAGAATGGCGGACCGCCTGCATTCCTTGTGTGCTCGTCCGTTTCCCCCTCCCGCGAATCGCCAGCACGACCACCGAAGCGTGTCCGCTTGGTGTACGCCTGGCGCCGGTTCGCGGTGCCGATCACCAGATCGGAATTGGAAGGTGAGCCAGGGACCTTATCACGCATGCCCAGGGCCGGCGCTGCGGTTGGCTGAACGCTCCCTGGGACGACCCTTCGATGGTTTCATCTGCAGATGCCGCGCAGCGACTTTTGACCATCTACCGATGAGACCTATTGGGGGCCACATTTCGGCGGGAAGATCTTCTTTTGGGTGGTGTTACCGGCACCCATTGTGATCGCCAGGGACACCCCAATTGCCTTCTGCCGGCCGTCTCCGCCTCCAACCCCGCAATCTGAGGTTCCCCCAGGAGTCGCGCTTCAATTGGTATCAACGGTTGACTGTCGGCATCCGCCGTAATCGGTGGTGCTGGAGCCAACGAGAGGTCGCTGAACTGCACGAGGCACGTATCTGGGGCGCGAATGGGGAAGGTAGTCCGGGGTGAGGTGACGATACCGGATCGTCGGCGCTGGTATCTCCGCCCAGCACGCTGTAGCTGCCGGCGGTATCATGCTCGTCAATTGACTGCGACAAGAATTAGGTGCCGACAGTATCAATAGCCTCCTTTTCTTCCCGGGGTTTCAAGGGTGCAAAGACGGTGGCTGGCGAAGACCTCCGAGCTCGCTGTTACCCTGGTATGCCCTCATCAGGGTTGTCCGCAGCCCGGATGTACGTGCCGCCCACAACATCAGGCCGTCTAGATCATTCAGGACTGCCGAACAAGTTGGCCAAGAATATAGCGCAAATTCCCTGCCTTGATGGACTAAGAGCTATCACAACCGAGCAGACGAGCAGGGGCTCAATGGCCCTGGTGGCTTTGATTAATCCCCGCCTGACGTCGCTGACAGCTGAAAGACGGAAGGGGCCGACGATAGCTTGCGGGCGGTATCTTGGACTACTAGGAGCGAAGCCGCCCCTGATCCCGCTTGATTTCCAGCGTTCAATATCGAAATAGTGACATGCGGTGGGTTGCAGCATGGCGATCCTTCTGAGCTGGCTCCTTCCGGAAGCGGGCCCACACGCCGGCCGGTGACTTCCTCTAGACGAAGAGGATAGAGCGCGCGCGTCTGGCGCAATACAATAGTCTTGATGTCCGGCGGCATAGAGGAATTCGGGGCGGAGTTATTCAGTCCGTGAGATTGATCAAGGGCTATGAGAGGCTACTTTTGATGATGTTCAGTCTTTCAGCTCGTCTCGAGGTCCGCACTATCTTTCTCCGGTATTTTGAATGTCCCGCATTGGACTGTACATGACAGTCATAACACCTTGTAGAGTACGTGAATGCCTCCTTTAGCTTCGCTGCCCAACACTACGAGGATGGCATTTCGAACAGATAAGGCACATAGTGTTCCTGTCCACTAGCATGGATGTTGTTGGCTGTATTTGAACCATGATGTCTGGTGTAAAGCATGCTGTGGTATTGTTCTCAACCAACCAGCAGCTCCATCTCGTGAACAGCATACCACACAGCTTACAATGCCCCGACCAGACTTTCTCGCTTCCACTTCTTGGCGAGATTGTTCCAAATGTAACACATCGGAGCTTGTCTACAGCGTTCTTGACTATTTCAGTGACGATGATCCAGGGACTATATGTGCAGAGTTGTTTCCACGAACTTGTCAGCCCAAGACCATTCTGTATCACCCATTATCAACGAATAGCCCTTTTCACCAAGCCAAATACGTCATGTATTCCCCTATCGCACAGCCGGTGCTGGAACATCGCTTCAAGCTCGCCTTTTGGGAAGAAAGCCGGGCTACTAAAACCGCTGTGCAAACTGCCAAGCGGTCCTTGCTTCGTGTCGAGGATGACTTTGCCAGGTTCACACGTACTCCCGCTCATGAAGAGGATAGGAAGAAGTACGCTGACTTGTACGCAGAGGCTGCATCTCTCGTCGAAAAAAAGGAGGGAAAGCTCCGGCATCGCCTTCGCAGGAAGCTTCGCAACGAGACGGACGAACAAGTCATTCTTCGTCACGACAAGGCAGTTGCGTTGAAATTCTACCCGAACCTCGTCAAACAGCTTGTACTGGAGCTGGATGCCATTTCTGCCTGCCAGGAAGCAGTCGAGGGAAGACAACAGCGCCTGACGTGCAACAAAAAAATTCTTGATGGCAGAGAGCTGGTCCTGACGCAAGTACGCGCGTGCCGTATCCACATCGATTGCTACATCGGTAATAAGACAGAGCTCTACAAAGAGTGGATGTCTCTCGAGAAGGAAGTTATGGACGCTATGAAAGGCAAGAATCTATGTGCACACTGCCGAAAGATGGAGAAGGAAAGGAAGAAGAAAGAAGCCGAGTCCTCCGCTTCGTGTGAAGGCCCTGTTGGCGAGAACAGTGCTGCCGTCGATCCTGTTGCAAACAGCAGCGTCACTGCTCCACCTACGGAGGCTGAGGTCCTCAAGAGACTCAAGGCCACCAGGGTTCTTTTGATGAAGGATCTCGACATATTCAACCGATTCATCGCCATCATCAAAAGTGAGGAGCAGGTTCGGGCTGCGCACGCGAAGTGGCTGCTCGGAGTTGACCTTAGGCGCATCTTCAACAGCGAGCGCATGAAAGCGGGCAAGGAACCCATGAAATAATGCGTATGGAGATCACGAGCCAGGTCGTAGGTCTTTTGTTTTGTTTTCGCGGAGGATGCTTTCATTGACAGCTCCGCCAGAATATGCTGCCTCGGACCCCTGGCGCGTGTCATTAGCTGTTACAGCCAGCTGCAAAAGAGCTTGGTGACAGCCCTCACCCAGTCATGTTTGCCTTACAGCTGCTATTTGATGGAGCTAAAAGGATAAGTGTTGAATAAACGCCGTTGATTCAACTGGGCTACATTCATAGCGCTATGAGCCCCCCAAACCTGTCCAACGTCAACAGTCTGACCGGCAACATTAGTATTTCCTTTGTACGTATGCTGTTGTTAAGTAGATGGAGAAAATTATGAATCAAACGATTCACCTATGATGCGGAAGTTATTCAAGCGCGAAATTGATGGGAAAAACGATTTGATTTTGAGTGGTTTCTTTATAAAATATGATTGCCCGTCTCATGCGTAACTCCATAGTGGACCCAAGTCAAACACTGTTTTCCATGCCAAATCAATGCATGGAAAATGACCTCGACAAAGTAACGTAACTTGAAGCAAAGTAACGTAACGGAGGGTACTTAGTTAACGTCTGCCCTTGGACAATATCGGCATAATACGAGCTTTGCCGTCGGCGCATGGAGAGAATGGCGCTGACTCATCAGCGAGCATCGGTTGCCACTCTAGCCTGCAACATCTCACTGCTTCTTCTTCCTCCACCATGCATCCCTCATCCAACTACCTACTTACCAGGCACTTCAATAGTATCCAAGATCCAATTCCACTCTTCTTCACAAAAGCAGACTGGACTTCGAAACCATGGAACGCCCGATGACCCCCGCCGTCTACCGAGATGCAGAAATTGTGTACAATTATCACCACATGAACATGCCCCTCCCTGCCAGCCCCGCCACAGCAGTATTTTGCCTCTGCAGCCTCGACGTGCGTGTCGCCGCCCGCGCCGCCCAACTCTTCCTCAACGGCGTCGCCCCACTGTTGATCTTCTCCGGAAACACGGGTGCCCTGACTGCTGGTTTGTTTGACAAGCCCGAGGCGGAGTTCTTCGCCGATATCGCACGCAGCATGGGCGTACCGGATGCTTCCATTCTTGTGGAACCCACGGCAACAAACACGGGCGAAAACGTCCGGTTCACGCGGAAACTGCTCGAGGACCGGGGGGTCAAGGTCGAGAGCTTCATATTGGTGCAGAAGCCGTACATGGAGAGAAGAACGTACGCCACGTTTCTGAAACAGTGGGGAGACGAGACGACTGGCTTCACGGTCACGTCGCCTGAAATGTCGTTTGAGGAGTATCCCGACGAAGCCAACCCGAGAGGATTGGTGACGAGCATCATGGTCGGCGACCTGGTTCGGATCCGCGAGTATCCGGCGCGAGGCTTCCAGATTGAGCAAGAGATACCGGATGAGGTCTGGAATGCCGGGCAGAGACTTATCGCTGCTGGGTACGACAAACACTTGCCTTAGTGTCGGGGGCGGTCTCTCGCTCATTCGAGTTCCCACACAAGCGGCGGTTCATTTCTCGCGGCTCGCCAGCGATTTGTTGCCGTCATCATGTCTTGGCAGCCCTTGAAAAGGAAGCGCCAGGTCCGCAGCATACCTTCGGTCACTTCCCAACCATCCGGACCCCATGGATCCGCCCACACGATCATCCCGTCTGCACCCGACCGTCCGCCAGAGAAGGTGGCGCAATAATCCGCTTGGGAATACTGCCCGAGGGCGCGTATGGCATTGTCTCGCATACGAGGCGAGGGCAGGATGTCGATCCAGGGCGGGTGCGGCGTGGTGAGTTGTAGTGATGTCGGAGCCAAAGATTCGGGGAGGGCGCGGGGGTAGGGGAAGAGGGGCATTGTTTTGTAAGGGCTGCCAACGCAGACAACGTTCGTAATGGCTAGAATGGCAATATTGGTGTGGCTCGCCCGCTTGACATTGTATTGAATGAGGGGAATGAGATGATCGGTTGATAACGGAAACTCGCTCTTGAGAGGGTCAAACGACAGGGGTTTAAAGTTGCTTGCACTCATGGCGAATATGGGCATCTCACCAGCCACAGCTGATGAGGATATTTGGCGCCCGCGTGGCTGGACATGGTACTCTTTCTTGACCATCATAGCCCGAGCCTCGGCCTTACGCTTCCCTGTGTAGATGGTCAGTTTGGAGAATGCCAAGCCATGCTAATGGGACGTACGATGAGCTCTCACGTTGAGCCGTGTCTGGCGTTTCTTCCGCTCAGCCCTGTCTTTGAGGCCAGTCCAGTCATCGTCGAGGCATTTGGCCCCCTCGAGCTGGGACATTTGACTGATAGAAACAGACATGGTGTCCAAAGTGGAGACTCATCAAAGATCTGGACGGTGAGCTGTCTTGTTTCGTGCGTCACGTACTGACAGGTACGCTCCAGTATTGCGGAAGTTGAAACGGATCCGACGTCGGATGCGGGAGCCACCCTGCCGTTAACGCTGAGCCGTGAATGATCCGACAGCTGAGCTGTAAACAGGTCTGATCTGAGGCGAGACCAGTATGGCGACGAGACAAGCGGGAAGATGGTGGACGAGATGTCGATGGCAGCGGAACGTTGATGGATGTAAGGCGAGTGCATGGGAGGAAGTCTAGAGGGGGCATTAGAGAGTATGCAGGCGGCTTACAACGCTAGACTGGATCAGGCCGAGACCCTGGTCATGCCCCATCAACCAGCTTAACGCCGACAGCATGAATAAAAGCAATACATTTGTAAGGCGGAGTTGTGTAGGAATTTTCCGGATCATTTGAAGGTCCGATTCTCGAGACTTGTGAACAGGGACGATGTGCAGCACATCGCTGATGTACTCCTGATACCATCGATCGACGCTACGTCAATGATGAAGATATCAAGGCTAGTACAAACTTACAGACTACATGTACATGCGCCATATCGCAAAGCCATCAGCAGCGTCCTGTATCTCATCGAAACTTAAATCTGAAGTATATGGCCACAGCCTTGACAACGATTTGCGATGCAATATTTACAGATCCAGCTACCTAGAGGGGCCACCTGCAGCCTTACATAGGTCTCTAACGTGCCGCACCCTTATAATAGGCTCTTGACGTCATGACATTTGTGAAAACCCTATCTAGGCTTTGTAATGCATCCTATGCTGAACCAAAGCTTTGTTGTCGTACTGTGCGTGACTTTGTATCTTGGCATACTTCATAGACTACTTTTCTCGATGTTCTCTTCTTTCACTTACGATAGCCTGAGGTTTACTCGTGACGGCTTTATCGAAAACACTTCATCCCCTCGCGAACACTGCTTATTGAAATGCACGCTGCAATTGCCAAGTAATAATTATTATGCTTCGCGAATGTTATTTCCTTGCTTCGCCAGCCTTGAAGGCTCTTAAGATGGCTAAGCTGACCACGGGATAAGACATAATCTTGTCGTGCAGGCCCCATTTCACAATTTCTTCCCTGATGAACCCCCTATTGCCCTGCTTTGTGGCAACCCAGCCACCGGCACCGAGATGCTGTTTGCTGTTCTCCTTTTCCTTCTCGAGGTCTTCAAAGCTTATTCCCATGGGCGTGGCGGCATTGACGGCATGCCAAAACACCTGCTCACTGTGGGACCACGGAATGTCATAGTCGTCCTCAGCGTGAATAATGTTGATGTGGTATCTTGCACCGTCATCGGCTAGACTTTCGACTTGGCGAATAAAGCTTGCCAGCTTATCCTTGCTGGGCCATTTGCTGAGGATGAAAGTGTTGAGGAGAGCGAGAAGACGCGGGAAGTGCGCGAGGGGATCCAGAAGTGGAATCGTGCCAGCGACTCTGTATGTAGCGGTAAGAAGCTCAACGTCGGCAAAGGGAGCCACGAGGACCATGCCAGAGAGAATTATAGGCTGCGGAAGCGCTGCCAAATATTCTGCCAAAGCAATGCCCACTGCAGTACCGAGAGATTGGCCGAAGATGACAATTCGCGAGGGAGGGATCCGTGCCTCCTTCAAGGCCCAGTTAACCAGTGTCAGAGCGTCTGTCAACAGACCCTCCTCAGAGGGCGTGCCAGTGCTGGCTCCAAATCCTCTGTAATCCATGGCCACTGTATGGATGTTGCTTGGCGATGCGGCGTACATTGCGCGGTAGCTCGCTGGTCGCCAACCAGAGCCTAGAGTGCCGGCCGCACCGTGAAGGTAGATGACCAATCGGGCGTCAGGATCATCGCGCAGGAGCTCAAATCCGAGAGTCTTTGAAATGTTGGGCGCGATGCCCGACGGCTCCTCGACGAGTCGTTGCTCGTATCTCTGGTAAAGGCCTAAGGGCAGGATATGCCAGGCGTGCAGCGTCTCCCCATCGGATGTGTCGAGGGTGAAAGGAGTGACCTGGTTATGAAGGAAACCCCATTGCTCAGGGATAGCTACATTTTGAAACCAGGTCAAGGTGACACGGTTGAGGTAAATGACTTGGTTTTGGAAGAATGGGATGGTGAGAAGACCAATGAATGTCGCATACGAAGCGAGAGATCCCGCAAGGACGTAGAAGGTAATTGCCGACGGCGAATGTGAGCTTCCCATTTTGGCTGTTTCACTTAAGGGATATGGCTGAGAAACTGATGCAACTCGATGAGAAAACAGCATTCGCGGCAAGCAGGTCGTAACAAGGATCGTTTCTCGATGGGTTGCGCCATGTCAAAGTCGAGGCCTGAAGGGCCCCCACCCACTCAGACGGCCCCCTGTGGGCCGTTTAAGGGTCCAAGTTTCAGGGGATCTGTCACCAACTCATCTGCCTGAACATACCTTCACCGAAGGTTACCTGGTGTACTTTTTTCCGCCACCGAATCAAATGGATGATCCTGGCGATACTTGATCCGGACATCGCCCTGACTTATGCTGCAGGTCAGTGGACGGGTGCACAATACTCGGTCCCAGCCATCCATGCGGAAGGCTACAACGCGTGGATAGGTCGTCTTGCCTTCTTCGCAGACATAAGCGTATTTGAGCTCAAAGCAGGCCGTGTCGAGCCCTTTCCATTGAACGCTAAGCAGCTTCACTGGCTGGTCATGAGCCGTTACGTCGAAATGCCCGGCTATCACAACGGCAGAGATATAGGACGAGTCGAAGCAGGATGGAATCGCGAAGGTCGTCACTTCGGTTCAGGTCGCTTATCCGATCGTAGAGTGCATTGGCGACGCGACACAGGGTCTCGCCGTGACCAAGCTCGAACTCAACGCGCTGGCAATCGTAATGTGTACGCTCATGATGGCTTTCGCTTGGCTGCACAAACCAACTGACGCCCGAACGCCCTTCTTCGTTTCGATATCGAAGCATATTCGAGACATCATTGACACCAGGAGTTGGCGGAGCGCGCCTCTCTTCTTTTTGGACGAAAATCGCCCTGGCTGGTCGATGAATGTGCAGCCTCTTATGAGAATGCCGGTGATACCCATTCGGCTACTCATACAGCGCATCCCAAACGACAGGTTCCCGATGAAGAA